TATTATTATTATCATTATTATTATTATTATTACTATTACTATTACTATCAGCTTCATCACTATTATTTATAACTTCCTTTACTATCTTATCACCAAACAACTCGACTAAAGGAATACAGCTGCAAACCGCACAAAACGCCCAAATACCCGTCAGCAACGCCCACGCACCTGTATTCTCGAGTAACGTTTTCGGTCCTTTATCCCGATTCATCACGAAAATCAACGCCGGCAGCATGTTGTTCACGTACTGCCGCATGCCCTCACCCATCTTCATCGCCACCTCACCGATTGCCCATATCGAATTGTTGCAAACCGATATCAGATCCGGATTTAGATTGTTCGTTAGAATTGGCATGAACAGATCTGAATTCATCTCAATTCAATCCAGCAAATCCCCTACTCTTCAACCAATCCAATAAATCCATCATTATTATTGTTGAAAGCAAATGTCAAAGGTCAAACGCCTAAGCCAGGCATCGGCTACCCCCGCCCGCTTGGCAAAATTTACCTACCGATAATAATTTTTTGCCCACCAAATGAATCTGAGGATTTGATTTTAAAGTGGTAAAAAAGAAAAGAAAAAAGTTCCCAAATTATTTAGCTACTACACTGAAGATTTTCCACACAGAATTTCCCAATAGACAACTAACTGTGTCGCCGACACACACACATATACAAATGTATATTGTGCTTTGACCCGCCAGTTACTTACTCGGGAAAATTTTACCCGCGATCAAACCTACTTGCCCATGGCTGCTGGCCTAAGCAATCCACCCAATAATATTCCATTCACCACCACAACAACGATCACAACCCAACTGATCAGCAATCGTTTAAGACACTCACGTATTGATGGCTGCAGATGATGGTAGCACGCCTTCGAGAGATCGCCGAGAAGCGCGAATGAGCTCTGCCGTACCTCGGGGCTGGCATCCTTCAATCAAAAGCATGATCTGACTGTTTATGAGCTGTCAAGCACACACCTCATTACAAGGGTATGATCAACGACAATTGTCACTTGAACAATGTTTTGTGAATCGCCGTGAGGAGCGATCGGCGGAGCATTTACCTGGATTACCTGGATTGGCTAAGAGAGAAAGCCAAGTTGGGCAGGCCACGTAGCAAGAGTAAATGATGGCAGATGGACTCGAGCAGTTGCAGAGTGCTACCCACGGGAAATAAAAAGACCAACCACTCGGGAGACCTCCAATAAGATGGAAAGACGATATTACAAAGAAACTGAGAAACTGGCAAAGGAAGGCAAAATCAAGGACCGAATGGAAACGCATTGTGGCCAGCAACGTTGCAAACGTTTAGCTGCCTGACTAATCCAGGTAATCCAGGTAATAACGGATTTGATACCATCTGCGATTGATTTCGAATGCTTCGGATATTCTGCAAAGACTGCCTCAGACTTGAGACAATTGCAACGCATTTCTACTGGTTGTGATCCACCGATTCGAGATCAACACTGATCTGGATTTGCGTGATGCCTTTCCCATGTGAATCCCCAAGAAACTTGAAAAAATTCCCATGAAATTTGAAAAAATTCAAAAATTTTACACTTTAGTGCGAAAGAGTATGGCGTTATGAAGAGACGCCAGAGAAGCAAAGAAATTTTCGCCTTCAATGTGCCACGGGAGCTGTCCTCGAACCCGCCGCCCATTAACTACATCTGCACAAGACACCCCGGGCAAAAGCAACCCCGAAAGAGTACGGCGCTATGAAGAGACGCCAGAGAAGCAAAGAAATTTTTGCATTCAATGTGCCGCGGGAGTGGCCTTCGAACCCGTCGCCCATTAACTACAGCTGTACAAGACACCCCGCAAGAGAACGGCGTTATGAAGAGACGCTAGAGAAGCAAAGAAATTTCGGCCCTCAATGTGCTGCGGGAGCGGCCTTCGAGCCCGTCGCCCATTGACTACAGCTGTACGAGACACCCCGGAAGAGAACGGCGTTATGAAGAGACGCCAGAGAAGCAAAGAAATTTTGGCCCTCAATGTGCCGCGGGAGCTGTCTTCGAACCCGCCGCCCATTAACTACATCTGCACAAGACACCCCGGGCAAAAGCCACCCCGAAATAGTACGGCGTTATGAAGAGACGTTAGAGAAGCAAAGAAATTTTGGCATTCAATG